TGATTGAAATGGAAGAAATGCTGCTTATAGGTTGCAAAGAAAAAGCTCACTATAGTGTCTCCGCCTCCCAAAAGTACGATCGACTCTATTCAATCCTACAGTTACCAATACAATCCCTCCAAAGAATGGACATCTTCAAGTAGGTGACAGTGTAAGTGCTCTAATAAACCTAATCCAGCCACTTCAAAACATGAAAAGCTCGTCAAATTCTGCTCCATCCACTTACAAGAAAAATGCTTCGATCACTTCTGAGGGACATGACACTATAAGACACTAAAGGAAGAGGCATTGTAAGTGACCACACTAAAATGGGCTGCAATCCTAAGAAAGAAGACCTAGTCTTAATTATATTATATAGGGTAGTAGTCAAGATTTGTGCTGTGCAAAGGTCTCAACTAAAACTCAACTCAGGCGAACTACTTATTAAGTGAAGGCAAGGTGTTGGCCATGCTAAAAGCAACGATTAATAGACATGAACAGAAACTCCCTTGGAAGTTGGAGAAAATGGACTGATTTGAAACCGTTCCTTCTCAATTGCATCACTGAATTTCTGGAACTGGGAGCTTGCTTAATCAAGTACTTCACTTGCGGAGGACTGGGTTGAGTCACCTTTCATTGTCCAATCAGGTTTTAAACTCGGTGGATGATGCTTCCAAAGACAAGGGTAATTACTTAGGATAAGAAACAGTCATTGAACTTATACAGGTAAACTCCTTATACTCCAACCTATATTCTCTCTTCACAAAGATGCGCCTGCGGACTGCAGAAAAACTAATATCTTTCAGACAAGGGTCAAGTTTGATGGAAAGATATACAACCTCATTATTGATGGGGGGAAGCATAATCAACAATGCATCCCAAAAGCTTGTTGACAAGTTAAATTTGAAGATTGAGAAGCACCCACAACAATATAAGTTGCCTACATGAATTACATCACCAAGTTTGTGTTATCACCCCGTCTTGCAGCAATCTGGATGAGTGGTTCAAATAAGGCTTAATTTGACTTTGTTCCCACGACCGTTTGCCCTATCATATGAGATGGCTATGCTTTTTAAATAACAAGGTCCAGCATGATAAGAAGGTCAATGCTTTGTCTTCCAAGGTCAAGAATAAAAACACGGGTGCAGTTTATATAAGGTTGTAGCACTAAACAATCAAAGTAAAGTCTACCTCTAAATAGTGTCAAAAAATGATTTTTCAGTAGCAAAACTCTTTGTAATGGCCTGAAAATTTATTTTCATCTCTAGTTATAAAATTTAAAGCCACAAAAATAGTGTAGATCGAGCACATCTATAAATACTTGAAAATATTGAAAACTGACAGCTGGAAAATGCATTACAAGATGCACTACCCAGACTTGAAATCCAATTTTTTTCACGTCTATACATCTAGAGGTCAAGATGATCGCCTTGAGGGACCTCTTCTAGTAAATTTTTGAGATGTGCCTTAATTTGATTGTTTAGGACCTCAACATTATATAAACTTTTTCCTAAAAGCATTATTCTAAAAACTCCAAGAGAAGCAAAGCCTCCTAAGAAGACAAAAATAGTCAATCCAGAGAATGTTTTAACTATCAAGCCTCTTTAGAAGAATGTCAAAAGAATAGGATAATTAAAGTGCTTCTTGACAAAGATGTCAAGCCCAACCAGCAGCAGGCTAAAGATGAGTACTCCCAGAAGTCCAAAAAATTTACCCAGGTCTTCTCAAATTTGGCCCCACCCCATGAGAGATATTCAACATCAGGTCGATCTCCTTCCTAAATCTACTCTCCCGATCCTGCCCACATACCACATGTGTCCTACAGGAGTTGAAAAGTTTCACCAGCAAGTGGGGTTTGCTTATGAGAGCATGAGCATGTTTGCAGTATATGCCCTAAGCCCAACCAATAAAGATTAAATGTGACGCATGTGCATAGACACATTGGAAAACAGAATGACATGGATGTTTTCATCTTAATTCCTCAAAAATAAAAATAAAAGTCAAGATAAATTGCTCTTTTTCTTGAGGAGTTTGCAGAAGAGGTAAGGTGTCTAGAAAAAGATGTACCACCAAAACTTTTAGGAACACCAAAGTTTTCGTGCATGGACGCAAAGGAATGGAGAAGACAATGGATTTAATGAGAGACACACTCAAGCTAACTTCCAAACTCAGCGACAAGCTTTCAGCAACCAGGGTAGGACAATGTATCCAAAAATTGAACCAAATGTTCTCTTCAAGATCTATGACCACATACCTATGTGTTTTTACATGTTTTGGATGTTTCGGGCTTCAAATCATGGTTGAAAGCCTGCCAGAAAAATTAGTCAAGATTTTTTTCCTTGGTATGTTAGTTTTTCCTCCCCCTGCCCCCCTCCCCAAACGAAAACAAAAAACAAAAAAAAAAAATTCATTGAGTACATCTTGTAATTGTGCATGGTTTCCTTAAGTCACTAGGTTTCTAAAAAACTGAGATCCCAATCCTAATTGGATTAAGATAGTTTCCTAGAATCCTTAGGAGTGAAGTTCTTTGTGCTTTCAAGATTCCAAGTACAGGGCAAATGGTATTATTTATCCATTCCTACTCTTTTTACACCAATGTCGGTGATTGGAGATAACTCTCTTCAATTATTCTTGGGAAGGAACGGAGTGGATCCATTTAGTATTTGTTAATTCATTTCTAGTCCATACAAATTCTGGCAGACAAAGCCACTAAATCTATAGATACCCATGTAAGCATTTCATATTCAAGTTGAGAAATGAAACGAGTTTTTAATTATGGTGAAAGGCCACCTCTAGAGGAGAGATTCCTTAAAGCTTCTTGCATAGAGAGAAATTCTACAACTCTAGCTTAAAATTGGTAGAGTCTACAGAAGAAGTTATTTTTATTTTCATACGTGTTGTGGGTTTATGGTTACAGGCACATAACGCCTGGTTAAAGCCTCCATCTATTTTTATTTAGAATATCCATGAAGTTAATTAACATACTGGAGAGGCTCATGGCAGGAGGCACTCAAAAAATTGCATCCAGTCAACTGGGCCATAGTCTGTAAACGCAAGAAAGCTTGGGGAGTTGGGTATCAAGACCTTAGAGACTATGAACATTGTCTCTTGGGAGAATGGGTGTGGAATTTTGCAGCACAAGAGAGTCAGAAGAGACCTCAATGGTGGTGAATCACCAATCTTGGAGCTACTGCTTTCTTCACTTCATGCTTACTTCCTCCAGGTCATGGAACGGACATATTACTATGTAGTATGTACCTCAGCAAAGTCATGCCTATTCTCAGTGACATCCTTCTACAAAGAGAACAGTAAAGACTCCAAGATACAGGCAGTCACTGGCAGGGCCAGGTTCACCCCTTCCCCTCCGAAAGTCCAACCATTCAGTCAATTGGCCCTATACAAAAAGGATTCTGATCGTAGACCAGCTAAAATGTGAATCTCCCAGAGGCCTAATTGACCCATCCATGTTAGTAGAGTGAAGAAACAGCTTAACATCTCTTTCTTCACTGTCCAAGAGTGGGGCATATTCAGAGCTACCTCTTTAAAATGTTAAGGGGCAAGTGGTTGGTTCCGAAAACTACACAGCAGTTGTTTCCAGCCTACTTCTCACCCCCTTTCCAAGGTCAGGACTTATCCGTCGGAGGATATTAATCCTCACTCTATAGTGGAACATCTGGCTGGAACTCATAGAAGGATCTTTGAAGGCAAAGCAAAACCTCTTGAAGCCATCAAGGATAATACCAAGACAGCAGTAATCGAATGGGGAGACAATTGGAAGATTTCAAAGAGCACGCAACATCAAGACTTCATGATCAATTGGGACACTATAGCAAGGTCTAACAGAAGGTCCTCCACAAGATCCTCACATTGAGTAGACATAGAGCCTGGCACCATTAAACTCAATTTTAATAGGAATTCACTCAGAAACCGACCTGAAACAGCTGCTGGGGGTGTCTTAAGGAACTTGGTTGCCATGGTTTTGTCCTTCTCAGGGCCCATCGATACCACCTCAATCATGGCCGAAGCCCTCATGCTGCTCTAGGGTCTCAAACTGTTCAATTGTAGGTTGAGCTCTATGGTACTACTCAAAGGGGACTGTTAAGAATCATTATAAATTGGGCCAACTGTACTTCCAATCTGTCCATTGAGATTCACTCAGGTATTTGAACAAATATTTGTGATGGGTGGCATGTTCAATGCCTCCCTCTATCACATTTGGTAAGAGGAGCACAGCTTAGAGGTCAGCCTCCTCGTGATCAACCACTTCTAGAAGGCCAGGTCAACCAGAGTTTTGTACTGCACACTCTATGTCGGCCATTTTGTTAGATCTGAGAATCCTTCTCGGACCTTTTTGTTGGGCCTGAGAACTCTCATTCTCACAGTCATGTGAGAAATCTAAAATGTACTTTACTTGCATTAATACCATACAGTCAACTTTATCAAAACAAAACAGAGATAGGCTTGTTTTAAGAGAAATGAAGAGAGTAAGAGAGAGCAGAGCAGAGAGAGAGAGAGAGAGAGAGCTGCATCTATAAGAGCGATAAAGTCATCTACTAGAGTTTTTTTTTTTTTTGGAGCCTCTCTTTTACATGCATACAGGGAGTTAATAAAAAGGGAAATTTATCAAAATACACCTAAAAGATCAGTACTTAATATTTTCCCATTCTCAACTATTCCAACTCATGATCATGTGTTTTTCGATGGAATTTTTTTAAATGCAGAATAAAAAGGGAAATTTATCAAAATACACTAAAAGATCAACTGCTTAACATTTTCCCATTCTCAACTATTCCAACTCATGATCATGTGTTTTTTGATGGAATTTTCTAAATTAAAACAAAAGAAATGGGTAAAAGGTTAAATATTTTATCTCTTAGGTGCATTTTGATAAATTTCCTAAAAGGTTGTGGGGTTGTGTCAGGTTGTCAAGTTTTGGGTGGGAATTGGGTAGGATGTTTTTAATGTGGGAAGTTTTAGTCATCTTGATAAGTCATCTATAAATAAAGCATCCATTCCCAAACCTCCATTTCTGAACTGAGCCTTCATATTTGCTCTGCTGCGCCTTGCCTCTGCACCCCTCACATGCTTCTCAGCCAGAACTTTCTCTCTCTCCACTTCATCAGGCCATCTCTAAATTTGCAAAAAAACATATTGCAACACTCAAGACAGACACAGACAAGCATAAATAGAAGATAACACTACCACATCTAAAATGTTAAAGCATGCCTGTCGAAAGGTTTTCAATCTGTAAAGGTTACGGCCCTTGACAAGTAATGGAAACAATGGCGGCAATCTCTTTAATCCAGTGCTCCAAAGTACTTCAACCTTATCAATCACATAAAATGAATTATTACTGGCATATTTTAGGTATAGGAAACACACTTGGATCTGTGAACTTAAACTTACAGTGAACGTGTGCTGTTGTTTGTGTGCACCGTAGCTCTCCTTCACCACTCTTCCAGCAACCGTTCGGTGGCCAATAGGTCGCTCAGCCCCACCGCTTCTAATTTTGTCAAACCTGATTTGTAAGCCCAGCTAATACTTAGCACCTTATAAAAGTTGCATTACCAAAGGAGCAGGTCAAAAAATGCGAGTACTTCTCATAGATTCTCTGTGTGAAAAGAACTACATCACCAGTGCAAACATCACCTGCAAGGTGAAAACAACCTTTAAGATTTTCATTGTCAATAGATAGCAGCAGAACAACTCTCAAGTCCAACTCAAGAACTTCATGCATGCAGAAGGCAATATATGTTATCAGAACCACAGGAAATGTCACAGGTTTCAAAAGGAAAAACAGTGTCACTAGTTGTAAATCAGTCTAAAAGAAATCTTCTACGCTTTCATTTCACAATAGATAACAGCAGGACAACTTTCAAGCCTAACACAAGAACTTTATGCATGCAGAAGGCCGTATATATAACTCGAACTACAGGAAATGTCACTGATTTCAATCCCAAAAAAAAGACCACCAGTTGTTAGTCGGTTCTGAAACTACCACCAGTTTCTCTCAAAATGAAGTAGCCACCATAAAAGAGAAGTTAAAAGAAAAAAAAGCAAATAACCCCAGCCTCCAAACCTTATTGTCTTTTTTTCTAAGGAAGGAGAGTTACCATGTCAGTAGCAGGCGGCAAGCATCTCTCTCTCTCTC